TACATTCTAGTTACGAACTTGTCCTTTTACATTACTGACAATAAATACTAATTTTGATGTTAGCAAATTTATCCTTGGCTGGTGCTTACTGATAAGCCTGTCAATCTGATCTGTGGGATATCCCTTTATACTATGTGAATACAGCTAATTATGATTGGTTTAATAAAGAAGCTGACTGGCCAATAGCTGAACACAAGAGGTTAGGTGGTAGAGCCAAACTAAGAATGCTGGGAGGAAAAAGGGTGGAGTCAGGAGATTCAGAGAAAGGAGGACATGTACAAAATTAGCCATGAGCCATATGGCAAAACACAGGGAAAAAAAATGGGTCAATTTAAACATAATATCCTGAGCTACTGGCAGAGAATTTATAATTAATATTAAGGCTCTGTGAGGTTAATGGGGAGCAGCTTGAGAGACAGAAACTTCTGCCTATAAATGGTGCCCAATGTCTAGGGCTGCATACATCCACATAAACCTTGAGAAAGCTTTTTTAAAAAGTTCTAAATGCACAAAAACAGAGTTAGACTCGGCTTCCTAGCCTCCTGTGTCTCTTGCTGGCCTAAGTAACAAAACATGTCTCCCAGAAGCTACCTGTGGGAAGAGGCAGCTGCCAGCGGTGATATACTACTGCCTAGTCCCTCCTATCTTCTTTCCTATTGGCCAACAGTGCTTTATTCATTAACCAGTATGAGAAACATATTTACAGAATGACATCTCCCATTCTGTAATAAGATATATCCAGACAGGGGAAAAAAGAAAAAAGAAAAACCTCTAAATGGCTCACATTGTGTTTTAAATTTTTCATAGGCTTGGGAGAGAAAAGGGGGTAAAAATTGGTATATATACTAAAGTTTAAGAATAATGAAGTAAAGTCCCTAAAGGTGGGAGTAAAGTAATTTAAAAGAAAAAAAAAAGCTACATAAAGATGGATAATACACAAAAAGTCTGGATAACAATACTATGTTATTGTGTTATCTTTAATTTTTTCACTGCTAAGAAACACTAGATTAAGGCTGCTGGATTAATCCAACTTATATATTTTAAAACTTCTTTACTCCAAAATGGCAGCAAAAGATATGTTACTTTGGGGAAGATGCTCTGCTTTTATTTCCACAGGAAATGAGAGGCTATGGATTCATTCAAGATTAAAGATAAACAGGTTTGATCAAGGAAAACCTCCTGAAACCTTGGCTACAAACAGAAAGAAATTAACCTAGAAAAGCTATAAAACATGTAACATACATTTTGCCTGCTCAAACATAAAACAAAAAAAATAATCTTTGGTTGATATATGTATAATACATAGTCTATAGTTGTATTAATACAGATATGTACATTATCTTTAAAAGTTTAAGTGTTTTCAGAACAAGGAACCAGACACCAACAAAAATGGATGCCGACTGAGATGACCCAGCCTCACAGAATACTACAGTCAATTCCTAACCATTATCCTAAATTTTCTTGGAGTCTAAATTTTACCAGTGCCCCCCAAACAACAAGATGTAGTCTAGAGAATGATGCCCACATCCCCAACATATTGGTTATAAATGTCTGTTATCACTTAAGTGGGGGTAGGTGGTTACAAGTTGTTATTGATAATGGTCAAAAAACTAAACAAAAAAGATTAGATCTCAGGAATCTCATTCAGAAAGACCTTCTTGGGTCTTTGATGGAGCTAAAGACTAGATGGTCAAAGTAAAAGTTTCCTTAATTATGATAAAAGATAAATTTTAGTTATAAAACTTTAGAGTCACAAAGATAAAATAGATAATAGAATACTTTCTCTAATGTTGCCAAATACAAGTAGACTAGAGATTGTAACTGTAGTTCTTACTTGATAACTGTTTCTGTTGTATATAATTTTACTATGTTAAAGTTAAAACCATCCTTTTTAATTGGGCAAAAAAGGGAGAAATGTGAACTATTCCTTTACACTGTATGCATACATGTTACTGTGATTGGTTTAATAAAGAAGCTCACCGGCCAGTAGCTGAACAGGATGATGTTAGTTGGTAGAGCCAAACTGAGAATGCTGGAAGGGAGAAGGGCACAGCCAGAAGTCAGAAGCCAGATGCAGAGGAAGCAGGATAAGTACAAAATGAGGTAACAAGATAAGAGCTATGGGGTAATTTAAATGTAAGAATCAGTTAATAACAAAGCTGAGCTATTGGCCAAGAATGTGTAATTAATATTAAGCCTCTGTGTGGTTAATTGGGAGCAGAAACTTCAGCCTGCAGAGTTCATTCTCGAAGTCCCACATAGTGGAAGAAGAGAACTGACATGACACCTGCAAGCTGTCCTTTGATTTCCACGTGTGCCCACATGCCCTCACACATATCTCAAATATAATAAACAAACACACAAATGCATATATGCTCACAGAAATGTATTTTTAAAACCTTTATTGATCTCTATTTACACTATTAAGCCAGGTGTCTGTGGTGTATGCCTTTAATCCCATCACTCCGGAGGCAGAGTCAGGCGGATCTCTGTGAGTTTGAGGCCAGCCTGGTCTACAGAGCGAGTTCCAGGACAGCCTCCAAACCTACACAGGGAAACCCTGTCTAGAAACAAAACAAAACAAAAAAAAAAAAAAAATTCAGATTATGCAACAATGCAACAGGTTGGTTTTTGTAATTTTGCCTCACTTCCCACGTGATGGGAGATGCCATTCTGTAAATATGTTTCTCATATTGATTAATGAATAAAACACTTTTGGCCAATGGGAAAGCAGAATACGCGGGACTAGGAGACAAGGAGGATTCCAGGAAGTAGTAGGGAGGAGTTTCAAAATGTAGGACTGAGAGAGAAGAATGCCGGGCCCTCTCTTTGGTAAGATAAGATCACGTGGAAATACTTAGATTAATAGAGATAAGTTAATATTTAAGACAGAGTTTGCCAATAAGAAATACTAGTAATAGGCTAACAGCATTATATCTAATACAGTTATTTGAGGCTGGTGCAGCTGTGGGACAAGGCCGGTGGGAAAACTACTTGTAACACCCACTTCCCTCCTGCTGATATCAGGTATAGGTGTATATTTGTGGAGTTAACAGTTAGAGCATTTAGCACATACACATGAGTAGTAGAGAGGGGGAGGTTAGGTAGATGTTTATCCATCAAGGAAGATCATGTAAATGTATCTATGTGTGAGACAGGGTGGGAGTATTAACAAGACCTCTGGTGTTTATTTCTCATAGATTTTAAGAGGTAACTGATAACAGATATGTCCCCCATGGGATATATGTCTGTTGTTGATGTAACTTTGCAAGTACTTGTTCATTTCCTTGAGGTACTAAGCTTTAGTGGCAGATGAGAACCAGATGAAAGTGCTGTAAGAACTTAAGAGGAAAAAAGGAAAATGCACAAGCATTTACAGCAGCAAGATATATATCCATTGCAGCATCACGAGGGATGGATGCTTAGTCAAAGATTAGACAAGATAAAAAGTGATTTTACAGGACAAAAGACACATTCTGAGGGCAAGTAGTCTCCCCAAACTCATTTGTTACAAATAATATTGAGAAACATACTTTGATGACACAAACAATAAATCACCCACCCACCCACCCCCTCAAAAGAGTAAGGATCTGATAGGACATTTCACCAAAGATTTACAAATTGACAATAAACAGGCAAAGTGATGTTCTATAACACTGCTGAGGTGCCATTTCCTACATAGTGGATTAGCTAAAGTTATAAAGATGGACAATAATGGATGTAGAGAAATCAGAGCTCTTGTATACTGCTGATAGGATGGTGAAATGGTGTCTACAGCTGCTGCAAAACAGTCTAGCCATTTGTTAAAAATATCTATAATAGTCACTAACAACCTCTACTCACGGGTGTGTATGTAAGAGCAATAAGATAATAAGGACACATTAAAATGTATTCCGATGTCCATGACAACGTTATTCCCCAAATCAGAAAATGGAAGCATTTCACAAGCCAAGGAACGGATAAAATGTGGAGTCGTGAATCCTTGTGAGAGATAAGCAATGTGTAGGCTAACAGTAGGCTATACTACAGAAGTCTCTCTGTCTCTCTGTCTGTCACTCTCTGTCTCTCTCTCTTTCTCTCTCTCTCTCTCTCTCTCACACACACACACACCAGCTACAGGAAGTATAGATTCTATTAGTAGGGCATCTCAGAATTAAAGGAAAAGTAGATGAATGATTGTTCAGCTTGGGGGTTAGGGGGCTGGGAGTACAAAGAAATTAGAGTGGTGATGGCTAAAATTGAGTGAGTTAGAAAATGTAAATATTCTAAAATTTATTGGTAATGGCTGCTTAACTTCATCAAATATACCCAAACCCACTGACTTTTACATATTGGACACATGAATCACATTATAATGTGATTTATTTTTTAGTAACAAGAAAGAAAAAGAAAATATAACCAAATGCTAGGTACCCATTTTCTCAACCTTATTTCGACTACCCACATTCAGTTTAGAGCCCTTCCTTTCCTAATTTGGTTTTCTTCTCAAAAATGCCAAAATGCCTTAGAAAGGTACCACTTGGTAATTTGTTAGATACTTTAAGGCTTTGAATAAATATACATTAAATTTATTAGCATGATTGCAATGCCTAAGCCAGAATTTAGATATTGAGTGTGAAATTGTTGAATATTTAAATCTCAAATTTGTGAGATAAGTTTTCTCAATTCACAGCATGCATAGTGATTTAAGGAGTGTTGAGGGGGCTGCTGGGCCACTGAGCATTTCACAAGGAAGCGCCCTCAGCTTCAGGGATACAGAGTGCAAGTCCTGGATAATCCTTTTCTTTTTAACCTCTGTGTCTGTCTCTCCCCTCCCCCCTTCTCTCTCTCCCTCCCTCTCTCTCTCTCTCTCTCTCTCTCCTCCTCCCTCTCTCTCCCCCCTCTCCCCCTCCCTTCCTCTCTCTCTCTCTCTCTCTCTCTCTCTCTCTCTCTCTCTCTCTCTCTCTCTCTCTCTCTCTCTCTCTGTGTGTGTGTGTGTGTTTCTCCCTCCCTTCCCCCCACCCCTACTTTGTAGCCTAAACTGGACTGTAATTCACTATGTACTCCAGACTGGACTTGAATTTACTGCAATCTCTGCCTCAATGCTGGGGTCACATACTTGAGCCACTGAGACTTAGGGCTTGTTTCTTTCCACCAATGTCCCGGAAAGGGATTTCGCTTGCCAGGAAGTTTTGTCTGAGAGTTTCAGAGACTCAGCAATGGCTCCAGGGTGACTTCTTGGATCCTCCACGTTTCCAGATCCTACTGAAGAGAGGCGGACCAGGCTGGGGACATGGACCTATCAGCTGGACTCCCTGTGCTGCTGGTGCTGCTGGTGTGGTCCACGGCCCCGCAGGCGGCGCGGGCACCCCGTGAGTGCGGGAGGGGAAAGTGGGGGTGTGGAGCACAAAACCGAAAGTGGCTTTCTTGGAGCAGGGAATTTGTCACTTTAGAGTTGTAAGGCCTCCCTCCGGAGTCCCTTTTCTAGCTCTCCCCATGCAGAACCCTGAGGGGACATCTGTCACACAACTAGCTGCCCAGGGCACATTCCTCCCCTGCTCTAGCCCAGTGTGGCTAGTCTAAGTACCTGTGTGAGGAGCTGCCTTGACAGAGCTGAGACTGGTCTCAGTCTCAGATCTCCTTTTGTTTTTATTTTGAGCTGTCCTATCCTCTACCACCCATACTCACCAGGGATCTGGAATTTTTCACCAAGAGCAACCAAAGTCGCCTCTGGCATTTTCCCTTCCGGGTGCAGGGAGAGACTTAGATGTTTGTCCTGTGAGCCCTGGGAGTGTTGGGTCTCACCCCACTGTATTATCTTTTGGTGACAAGAGGCGAAGGTCATTTGGAGAGGGAGACGTGGATGAAATTCCTCTCTCTTGGAAACTGTTCTTTCATCTAGAAACGTTGTTTCTATTACAAATAGATGTGAACAGTGTAAACAAAGATTTTAAGAAAGTAGCCAGGACTCTGACAGCCCTTGTGGTTGGTAACTGTGCTGGTTAAGAAGTCCATAAAGTGTTCGTTGTTAGAGCACTACATAAATATTTCTTCTGCGTCGGTGTGCTGCCTTGACCTCATAATTAGTTATCCTCATGCGTTTGTGGGTTGGGGGTATCCTATCCTGAGGCCTTGATATCCCTGTAATCCAGGGAACATCAGGTGTGGGACATTATCTTTGTGCCTTAACCCTTGGAAGGAGGTAAGGTCGGTTAAGAAGAGAGTCCAGGAGTCTGATGACAGGGAATGCTAGGCTTCCACACCCTTTCACTCACTGTGGGTGGGGTCAGCGCCCTTTGGCAGTGCCACCCTTTGGGCACCTCCAGAGCAGTGGTTCTCAACCTTCCTAAGGCTGTGACCCTTTTAACACAGTTGCTCAGGTTGTGGTGACCCCCCAACCATAAAATTATTTTCACAGCTACTTCATAACTGTAATTTTGCTACTGCTGTGAATCATAATGCAAATATCTGGTGTGGAGGAGATCTGATATGCCCCAAGGAGTCTCCACCCACAGCCAGAGAACACCTGTTCTAGAGGTCCTTGTTCAGCTGGGCTTTGTTGATTTGCAAACTAACAAAGAGTTAAAGGACTTTTTCTAAAGAATGCCAAAGTGCTGCTTAATACACTTTAATAGCATTTGGATCTGTGATCCTTTTTTTTTTTTTTTTTAACTAGTTATACTCTGGGAAGCAGCAGTTATTGCTAGTTAACTGGCTCTCACCTTAGAGCTTTCCTCCAGTTGAAAAAAAAATTCATAATCTCCAAGATGATCCTTCTTTACACACACACAAACACACACACAAACACACACACACACACACACACACACACACACACACGGGTGTGTCGTGTTTCCGTATGTAGTTCAGATGGGTAGGAACTCACCTGTGCACACCAGGATGGCCTCAAGGCTGAGACAATCCTCCTGCCTCCAGAGTATTAGGGTTAGAAGTATGAGTGAACCACTGACTCCAGGCCAACAAGCATTTGTGAAGCACTGACCCCATGCCAGGTGCCATTCAAAGTACTAAGATTGCACCCCTGAGCAACTCTGTTCTGGAACTGAGAGAAACTTGGGAAAGCCTCAAGGTGAGAGTTCCTGTCAGTTTCCTTTCCTGGAACCCCTTCTGTTTGCTGACAAGTTGTCCTGAGCTATGTATCAGCACACTCACCAGCATTTGTCAGCCAATATCTACACATGGAAACAGTCAGAGTTGGAAGTAGGGCAAATTCCTCCAACTCCTTAGGGCTTTTAACTTAACAAATTGAGCAGCAGCTCCTTAGCTTGGTCCCCATAGGTAGAGAAACCCAAGGACTTTCCAGAATCTGGGTTCCAAGGTAACTCATCACCTCAAGGGGGGAGTGTCAAAAAGGTGGGCAGAGTTAGAGCAAAAGGCCAGAGCAGCTGGGGTTGTGCTGGGAAGAGAACTGTGTCACTCCACAGGGAGGACTTGCTCCTGTGATAGCAGGAGCTGACCCAGGTCTGTGGAAGCTCTGCCTTCTGATGCCAGTTGCTGCCCATTCTGAATGTCTGCTGACTTCCCCAGGGTCACATTCTCTGTACTACCTCTTCATGGGTGCCTCAGAGACAGAACTCGGGCTGCCTTTGTTTGAGGCTATGGGCTACGTGGATGACCAGCTCTTCGTGTCCTACAATCATGAGAGTCGCCGTGCTGAGCCCCGGGCCCCGTGGATCTTGGATCAGACCTCAAGCCAGCTATGGCTTCAGCTGAGTCAGAGCCTGAAAGGGTGGGACCACATGTTCATTGTGGACTTCTGGAATATCATGGATAACTATAACCACAGTAAGGGTATGTGGAAGGGCAAGTCACCTCCCTGTGGTAGTCAGAGCATGGCACTATTTTGCTACCCTGGGCATGCATCTTGAAGTAGACAATTGTGGGCATGAGATCCTGATGGGGGACAGGGGACACAGAAGGGAGAGATAGTTGTCTGTCCTGATGGTTTGATACCTAGGGTTGGTGGGTACAACACCTACTTCTTTGTTTCCAGTCACTAAGCTGGGAGTGATGCCGGAGTCCCACATCCTGCAGGTGATCCTGGGTTGTGAGGTGCATGAAGACAACAGTACCAGCGGCATCTGGAAGTATGGGTATGATGGGCAAGACCACCTTGAATTCTGCCCCAAAACACTGGACTGGAGAGCAGCAGAGCCAGGGGCTTGGACCACCAAGGTGGAGTGGGAAGAGCACAAGGTCCGGGCCAGGCAGAACAAGGACTACTTGGAGAGGGACTGTCCTGAGCAACTGAAACAGTTCCTGCAGCTGGGGAGAGGGCTTCTGAGGCAGCAAGGTATGAGGAGGGACCTCACTCTTGAGTGGGAGTGGGGGGGAATCCAAGGTGCCAGCTCAACTCTATCATTCACAAGTTTTGAGAAAGTACTTTCTCAATCCTAAAATTTCCATTTTATTCATTATCATGATAAAGATGGAGGGAAAGCAGATAGGCTGATGGATGTTTATTCAGGAAATAATCACTTACAACTGAGACAGATGACCGCCAGCAGGTTCCTGTCCCAAGGATGCCTCTGGATGCTATCTATCTCCAACCAGGAAGCAAGAGAGAGCCTCTGGAGTCACTGACCCCAGACCTAGTTCTCCCAGGTCATGTCCACATCTGTCCCCACGCCCAGATGACTTACTCAATATATAACCTACCCTGGGCTCAATCTCCCAGAAATCACCCTGCCTCAGCTTTCTGTGTTCTAGGATTACAATCATAAACCACACCTGGATAATGCCATTATGACTTTTTTTGTTGTTGCTTATCTGTTTGTTTGTTGTTTTTGTTCTTGAGATGGTCTCTCACACTTTAAAGTAGGCTGGCCTAGATATCACTATGCAGGCCAGACTAGCTACAGACACAGCAATTTTCCTGCCTCGGCTTCCCAAACCCTTGATATCAAAGTGTGAACCACTATTTGGGATAGAGGTGTCACTTCACATTGAGGTGTACAACACAGCTATGAACTACAACCTTATTTTCTTCATGAATGTGGCTTGAAAGGAAGCGTTGGTGCTGTTCTTCTGATGGAGCCACGAACCCTGTGTGTATTTATTATGTCTTTTAAGAATACAGAAATATCATTGTCAGATGAAAATACCAAACATCATCACTCATCTGAGCAGCAGAATCCTTTAGCAATTAAAGATTATTTCCCTAAACTACAGAAGTCTCGATGATTGCTCCCAGCTTACCAAGGCTCTTTCCTACAAGAATGGTTATTAGGCTCAACCAGATGAACAGAGTCCAAGTCAAATATGCTCCACAGAAAGGGGAATGTCTGCCTGGTCAGAGGGCCTGGGAAGCAGGTGTTAAACAGGGAAGCTGACCGAAGTAGCTGTTCTCCTTGTGGTACTTCATTAGTATCAAATCAAATTTTGAAGCCAGTTTCAGGATACCAAATGGCACCTGCTGCAGCTGGTTTTTCTGAGAAGGGTGTGCTCTTTCTACCACAAAGGAAAGGAAAAATATCAGTCCTCCTGCCCAGGGTAAAACATGGCCCTCTCCTTCCTCTTTCCATCAAGTGCCTCCTTTGGTGAAGGTGACTCATCATTGGGCTCCTGCAGGGACCTCTCTGAGGTGCCAGGCTCTGAACTTCTTCCCTCAGAACATCACTATGAAGTGGCTGAAGGACAACCAGCCACTGGATGCCAAGGATGTCAACCCTGTGGATGTGCTGCCTAATGGGGATGGGACCTATCAGGCCCAGATGACCTTGGCTGTGGCCCCTGGTGATGAGACAAGTTTCACCTGTCAAGTGGAACACCCAGGCTTGGATCAGCCCCTCACTGCCATCTGGGGTAAGGATGGGCATTCAGGGCAGAGGTTGTCTGCCATAGAGGTGATTACCTTGGCTGTGACAGAAAGGTCTTCTCTGGGCTGGGATGTGGCAGTCATAGACTTGAATTTGTATTTGGATTTTAGAGCCCTTGCCATCTCAGTCCCTGATTATTGGAGCCATCAGTGGGATCATCATTTGTGTCATCTTCTTTGTTGCGATTTTGTTCCTGATCTTAAGGAAAAAGAAGGCTTCAGGTGAGTAGGGGCATGGAGGAAATGTCATGGTACTTCTTTCTCCAGGACACATATTCCTGCAGAAAATGAGACTTCTATGCTCTTTTCTTTGTGAATACCAGAACGTCGCTGGGGACATTTTGTGTTGTTTTGTCTTCTCCAGATTGGAAGTTCCCCATTTAGGAAACACCTTCTAGGCACCTACTATTTTGCAGGTGTTATTTAAGGTAGAGTCAGGGAGTTGAGGTTGAGAAAGTCACTGGTCTCAGAGCCTAAACCTATTGTGGAATGGAATGGGATTTATGAAAAGAGCAGCTAAAGACTTCTGAGAATGAAAACATTTGGGAAGTCACTTGAAGAAATGCTCAAATTACATCAAGAAAGGGGATGGAAGACAGGTGTGGTAGTTTGTGACCCTAATGTCAGGAAAACAATTGCCATGATTTAAGGGTTGGTTACTTTGTGAGACTCTCTCTTAGAACACACACACACACACACACACACACACACACACACACACACACACACACACACATTGGAAAATGAGAAGAAGACAGAAGCCAGGCTACATAGTCCTGTGAAACATTATGTCGCTTGGGAAGTTAGTAAAATCACAAAAGCAAAAGTGAACAATGTCTGTGCTTGTGAAAGGGTTGGGAGGGGGTGAGTTAGGTGACAAGGAAAGCAGTTAGACAGCTACTAAACAGTGCCATATGGAGAGATAATGATCTCTGGAATCCAGTGGAGTCCCTGGACAAGCATGGTCAGATAGAGGAGGTAAAAATGGACAGGACAAGATGATACTTGGCCAATAATGTCTCTCCCTGGGTGTCTTATCTTCCCAGAAGAAACCATGGGTGACTATGTCTTAGCAGAGTGTTAATGACCTGCAGCCTACCGATCCATGGAAGGGAGGAGACTCAGCTAAAGACTTGGAGGAAGCACACTTGCTTCATTCTAGGACAGACTTGGACCTAATACACAGAAAGTGCCTGAGGTACTCTGTTTGTAGCTCTCCCTGTTCAATTTCTTAAGATGCTTCCCCCCAGTCAAGTCTTTTGAGTTCCTGAACAACACTGACTGCTCCAGATGCAACCCCTCCCTCCAGAACTGGTCTCATGAATCTCCAGATGCTTCTACAGGCATTCTTCATTTCCTCCGTCCATCTAGACTCCACATGTCTACTTCTTAAAAAGGCTGTCTACATTTTGAGGATACACGATTCATTTTCATATCTGAAGAAGCCATGAATCTTCATCCTGGGATGCACACACGTAGGTGTGCCAGAATTTTGCACACATATCCTAGAATCCAGAAACCACTCAACTGTCTTTTGAGCCTCTCCATCTGTTATCTAGTGATTCCTATGTCACCAAACTCTGACTTTTCTGACATTGGAGTGTTATATGGGTTATCAATACAACCTGAGGAGACACTCTCTGAGAAAATACAGATGTCTGTGTGAATAATGATGGCTATGTGTTCATATTTACAAAAGGTGTTGGGCAAGTTTCCAAAGGATAATTTCATATGCATTGGTGTCATGATGCCTGTGAAGTACCCCTATCCTTTTCCAGAAATAGAAATCATGAATGATTATAATAATAAAGTGTGGCTTGCACTTGTGAAGAAGTGTTCAATATCACACTCTGCTCTAATCACCTGCTAAATATAGACCACGACTTTGGAAGTTGTAATGTTTTCATAAAGTGTAATGTTTTCATAAAGTTGGTGTATTGTATACACCAACATCTCTTTAGTTTTGGAAAGTGAGGACTACAGTATCTCACAGCTCTCCAGAAATACAGACAGACAGACAACCGTGTGTCATTCTGACTCTTTAATGCATCCTGTGTATGGCATTAGTTACATGAAGTGAGGGGGCAAAGGAGAAGATGACTATTTTCTTGTCTCCTAGGGTTTCTTTTCAGTGAGTTTGATCCATGTCATAAGAAATAGCTGCCAATATTCTCAGCCCTCAGCTGCCACGAGTCCTTTCAATCTTCTGTTTCCTCTGGCATCTATCTTTTAGTTCAATTTTTTTTTTTTTTTTTTTTTTTTTTATCTGACTGGTATCTTTGAAGCTGATGCCTCTGCCTCTAGAGTCAGAAACATCAAGTGACTGTCTTGGCATCCAATAATCTGTTAATCTGTCTCATCTCAACAAAGTAAAATGGAAGCCCGAAGGTGGCCTGGAGAATGCTGGGAGTTGCTGGGGTCCTGCTGCGCATTCATAGTTGTGCCCATTAAGGCAAAAAGAAAAATGTGATTTAACTAGACAATTTAGAAATCTGTCCATGTTTGAGAGTCAAGCCTTGTGTTTGTATCATGTTTGTGTAAGTACATATACCTGTCTTCATGTGTGTGTTCACTAATGTGTACATGTGTATGTATATGTGTGTGGGCACATGTCTCTGTCCAGATGGCATGTATTCTCTTTCCTCCAATGCACACATTTGCCTGCATAACTGTGCTATAAATTCTATATTAAAGACCAAGTGCCTGAGACCAACATTTGAGCTGGGACCTCAACTTTCTCCTTTCTTCCTTCCTTCCTTCCTTCCTCCCTTCCTTCCTTCCTTTCTTTCTTTCTTCTTTTTGTTCTTGTTCTTATTGTTGTTGTTCCTCTTTTATCTTTGTCTTGTTTCCTATTTATGAAAGTCAAGTATTAGAAAAAAAACAGCAAAATATGAATCACTATTGAAAATAGATGGACTTAGAGTTATCATTTCCTCAGTGAGTAATGCACTCTACTAGCAGCCAGCATATTGCCTAGGTATCACTCCCATCAAAATGTATGCAAATAATAAACACATGGCTTGGTAAATATGGCACTGTATTTTGTACAACACAGCTTTACTGATATTTTTGCTCATCATATGAATGTAGTTAAGGACATTTTTATTTTGGTTTGGTTTAATTTTTTTAACTTGGGCACCATATAGTCCTAAGGTGTTCAGGCTTGCCTTAAACTATACTGACCATAATTGGGCTTATAGGTTTTGGGATTATACTTTTTTCTTTGTATTTTGTAGAATTATTTCATCACACTGTGATAGATAGATAGTTTTCCTTTGCTGTAATGACATTATTGTCTGAGATGTAAGCAAGTGTTTATCTACAAGCTGAGCTGAAAACACACTGTAATTTATTATCTCGAAATATCAGTCTATACATAGCAGAATGCCATGGGGCTTCCTCCACCACATAGGGAAATGTTACAATTAACTAAAAAAATGATATAATAATTAGACTGCAGAAATGGGGCATTAGCACGTTGGTGTGTTTCTTAGTATTATTTCTCACTTTCTCATAAAATTTTAGGGACTACGTTTAAAGATTTAAGACTTAAATTTCAAGTTTCCCATCTTCCCTCACCTCTGGCTAAACATTAACATAATATGCTAGGTTGGAGAAGGGTGACACCTGGCGGCTCATTCCAACACATCACAACTGATTGCAAAGTGGTTGGGGATAAGGACATATCCCTAAGGTAAAATGTTTATTAGAGGCTGGTGGAAGCAGCCAACTCTTGTCCAGAAAAACACCAGGTACGTTAGGCACCTGTAATACGAGTGCTTGAAAAGTGGATGTAGGAACACCAGAGATCCAGCTTATTCTCAGCTACATTGTGAGTTGGAGGCCAGCTTGGGCTACACAAAGCTTTCTTAAAAGAACAAATAACAAGATAGGTGTGTGTGTATTTTTAAAGAGAGTGCCTGAAAATTATAGAAAACAGAATTGTGTACTAGATACTGGAATGGCTGGTGTTCTGAACTGCTAACAGGACAGACTGCAAACAAACAACCCAGTGATCTCCAAGGTTCCTTCAACAGCATGCTTGCTGGGAGGTCCACCCTGGAAACACTTCCTCTAATACTACAATAGAAAAGTGAGATAGCTCTTAACCGTCTTGCAGCTCTCCTCATCCTGCATTCCCCAGACACATTTCAAGCAAAAATGTTGCAGGTACAGTGCCACATTTTGTCATGGTGTAACTTTTAAGCCAATATCTATGTTTTTTGTTTTTTGTTTTTTTTAATAAACAACTATTAGGCCACTCTGAACAGCTTAACATGGAAAGTATGTGAGCTGACTGGCAGCTGAAATTTCAAATCTTCCTGATTGGTTTGGAGTATAACTTGGTAGTGACTAATCCCTATCCTTTTCACATTCAGATTATCACTGCAATGTTTCAGGACTCCAGGAGCCAATTGTTAGGAAGCATGGGTACTTTGATATACGCATTCGCTTATATATTACTGGTTATCCCCTGGCTGTACCCTGTCTGCTGTTTCTTATTAACTGTCCAAGGTAGAGGAAGAGAAAAATAATGTTTTGAGGAAAAGCTTCTTTGTCACCCTCCTTATTTGCCTGAACAAGAATTTGCAGTCCCAGTAACATCTTTTGTGCAATGAATGTTTTCTAAAAGTAATTCATTTTCTGTACTGAGAATCAAACCCAAACCCTCCTATAGTCAAGCAAGTACTCCCCCAACTTTTTGTAAAATTAACATTTTAGGTACTTTTACTTAAATATTTACTGGATATTGGGATGCTCTCACTGTTAATTTCGCCAGAGTTCTATGAGGAAGAGCCTTTTTGACAGTGTTAGGTTTTATTTCAATGTCATGAAAATCTGTGCGTGGAGATTAATCAGCTTGCTCTTTGAAATTTCTAGTTAATAGCTGGAAAATTACTGTGCTGGAATTTTAATTCAGCACATAGCCACTATGTGCTAAGACTTATCTCCAAGTCAAGAAAGCCAGGGGTAGAGCAATGTTGCCATTTCTTGCCAAACTATGTAAGGAATTGCCAGTGCTACCTGGTAGCAGACGTCTTATGTCTTCTGTGGTGAGGAATAAATATGCTGTAACATTTCAAAATCAACCATAGCCCTAGGAATTTATCAGAAATATTTCCAAACATGTCTTTCGGAATGTGTTTTTAATTCATATTTAGCTGGAGCTCCTGGTATAAGGTGTTTGTAGTAGGGGTGGTTAACAAGAGACAGGAACTAAAAGCCTCCAAATTGGTATCTAATTTTGGATTTTATTTTTGTTTTCTTTTGTATGAGTGTTTTGCCTACACTAGTGGCACCTGCGGAAATCAGAAAAGAGTGTCAGATTCCTGGCAGTGGAGTTACCGGACTTGGGTGCTAGAAATCAAATCTAGAACCTCTGAGAGATTATCAAATGCCCTTAACATCTGAGCCATCTCTCCTATCTCGTTGTTAAATTAAAATTTGGAAGTCCAAAACCAACGATAAATCTACATTAAGAGCTAATGCTGTCTGCTCTCTGCCTTTGGAAAAAAAAAAAAAAAAAAAAGAAAGAAAGAAAGAAAGAAAGAAAGAAAGAAAGAAAGAAGAAAATATGAGCTTATCACAATCTTCACCAGAACCCTGTAGGCTTTGTAATGAATGACCTTAATCAAGTATTAACCCTACACTGTAATTCCCAGACCTACAAAACACTTCTTTTCAAAAGCTGAGCAAGCCATGCTGTGATTAGTAAGGGGTGGAAGGGACACAATCTCGGAACCAAGACAGACTGGAACACAGCAAGAAAAGGGCAATCGATAACCTGCCTTTATCTTTTTGTAGAGTCTTTCCCAGTCAGTGGAGTCACAACACTAGGTGTCTGACTCGCGATGAGGAATTGTGAAGTCTACAACTTGAGGGTTTAATTTAGATGCTTTTTCAACATTTTTGTATTTACAAACAATGGCGTCAGGAACTGGCTTAAACTGCCTGCAAGGGTGTTCTCGACATATTTAATTCACTGTTTTGGGTATTTTACGTGCATCCCCACAATGGAACCACCAAATAATTTCATTGAAAAATGGAAATAAAAACACAGGTGAAATATGGATACCTGCTTTGCGTAATGGCACCAAGTCTTTCATTTCGCGCAAAAAAAAAAAAAAAAAGAAAAGAAAACAAATGAAAAACAAAATTGAAGATTTTTGCGCTAAAATGAAATCTGTAAGTGCGCAAAATAGCTGCAGATTGCTGGCCAATCAAAACCTTTCGTTATAATGACTTCTCCTATTTGCTCCACCCCCTTTGAAAGGCCTGATTAGAAAGCCACGCCTAACGCTTGTGGTTTTCAATTTGGTCCGTAAGAGGTCTATTTAAAGAGAAGTTTGGCTTCTGTCTTTATCAGTGCAGTCATGTCTGGACGTGGCAAAGGCGGTAAGGGTCTTGGCAAAGGAGGCGCCAAGCGCCACCGCAAGGTTCTTCGTGACAATATCCAGGGCATCACCAAGCCCGCCATCCGCCGCCTGGCTCGCCGTGGCGGAGTCAAGCGCATCTCTGGCCTCATCTATGAGGAGACTCGCGGGGTGCTGAAGGTGTTCCTGGAGAACGTGATCCGCGACGCGGTCACCTACACGGAGCACGCCAAGCGCAAGACCGTCACCGCCATGGACGTGGTCTATGCGCTCAAGCGTCAGGGCCGCACGCTCTACGGCTTTGGCGGTTGAGTCATTGTCGCGCTTTTCTCCACTGTCGCAAAAGGCCCTTTTCAGGGCCACCCACAAACTCAACAAGGAGTTGTTGCACATTTTCCGATACGTTTTAAAGTTATGTGGTGCGAGTCCTTTATAAATCATTCTTAAGGGCTCTGAGATGGTTAATGTGTTTTGAGAAATGTCAGGTGGGGAACGTTGAAAGCTCCGTATGCTACACTGAAACGCCTGAGTTCAGCAATAGGGAGTAGTTACAAGCCATCCTAACGTCTATTGTCAAATTGTAATGTGTGAATGCAATGCTGAATGCACTGCCTTGGAATTGGAAATGTTAACAAACGTTACCGTATGTTGCATGAGGTCAGATTCCCACTGCCACTATGTAAGGCGCAGTCAGTGCACTTCATGGTACCAGTCAGTTAATTCGTTGCCTTGCTATGTGACGCGTATTCTCGTAACCATCCCTCTAAATTGCAAACTCAGGTCAGGGACCATATTATTTAAGAAGGGCAAGGAAGGACTGGTTCTACACAAACTGATGTTAAATGTTTAGCCATTATTCATTGTATGAAATTAATAAGGCCAAGTACATATTGTTTATTGGGAGGTCCATTTTATACTCCAGCTTCTTAGTTGTGAGACGGCTTTATATCACTTTAAATTCATGTGTGTGCGCCATGTTTGTTCGGATACCAGAAAGGGGCATCAGATTCCCCTGAGCTGGAGTTGCAGTTGTGAACCATCTGTGGTGTATTCAGACATACAAGCTCTGGTCTTCAAGAGCATCTTGACTAAACAATCTCTCAAGTCTTTGGTCACTCCTCAAACCAAGGCCTAAAACAGATGGATATGAATTTAATATTTATGGCACTCCTTAAGGAATAAAACCATTTTCCTAAAAGAATGGGGTTCTTAGTTTTTAATACTGTTATTGTCAGTCTCATGAAGCCTATGTCATTTTCACAAAATATACAGAACATTTCAACTGTAACTGTTAGGACAACAGTGTTCCACTTTATAAAACGGAACAAAAATGGATTGTGATTGACAAACAGCAAAACTCTTCCAAGATTCTTGAAACTGTTCACTCTATTTTTCAATCCTAAAAATTCAACTCAAGAAAATCACATAAAACCTCTAGCTTCTGTCTAAACATCTGGGTTCCTAGTGATGCTTTTAAAGCCTGCACACCGGTTAATGGCGTTTTAAAGGGTAAATTTGGTCAAAGTGGCAGCTACTACTCTACTTCTGTCCTTGATATGGTGGCGTTTCTAGGATAAAATACACCTATGGTGACCTTTATGCTAATGTGAAAGCACTAATACACAATCAAATTTGTAAATAGGCTCTAGGGTCCTCCAGGGTTTAGAAGACGGATCCACCTAAAGTGATTGTCCACCTCGTTAACTTTTGTTTAAAGTGTTTTGCCATTTTAAAAATTATGGAAGTGGCTCTTAAAAGAGCCTTTGGGTTTTTAAAACTGGCTTTGAAGCTCACTTCTTGGCTGCTGCCTTCCTCAGGTCGTTCTTCTGCAGGACCATCTTTGGCTTGCCAGCATTGGGGTTGGCTGCTCTAGCCTTGGCGGGACTTTTCCGCTGCTGTACACCCTTGGTGCCTTTGGTTTTCGGTCGGCTCCCGGATGCTTTCGTCGGCGTGGCCTTCGGCTTCTTGACAACCTTAGTCTTACTGCTCTTGGAAGATCTCGAGGCCCTGGACAAGCCCAGCTTCTTAGCCTTGGCAGAAGCAGATTTCTTGACCTTACCCTTGGCGTTCTCAGGAGCCGCCTTCTTGCTGAGCTTGAAGGAGCCAGAGGCGCCAGTGCCCTTGGTCTGCACTAGGACCCCATTATTCACAAGTCTCTTGAGGGCCAACTTGATGCGACTGTTGTTCTTCTCCACGTCATAGCCAGCCGCAGCCAGGGCTTTCTTCAGGGCGGCAAGAGACATTCCCGCTCGTTCCTGAGACATCGAAAGGGCCTCGGGAATCAACTTGGAAACCGAGAAACCCCGGGATTTGCGAGCAGCAGCCAGGCCAGGTTTCTTCCCTCGCCTTTTAGATGGAGGTTTCTCGACAAGACCTGGGACAAGGCTACTCAAGGAAGCAGGAACCGTTTCCGACATAGCCAAGAAATACTCAAGACCTACACCCAGTGAGAAAAAGTAAAAGAGCGACAGCGCAGGGGGTCCTGGGGTGGGGGGGGAGGCTTATATAGAGCAGGGCGCGCTGTGATTGGTGCATCCCCAGACACCTCCCCCGCCCCTGAAGGAGGGGGCCTTTGTGTTTCTTTTCCCCACAAAAGTGGAAACTTACTTAGGTGCTCACTGCAGAAATGCCAAGGTTGTGACACCAAGTGACCCACGGGAACTCGGATTCCACCTAACTTTTTACCTTTTACTGAGAAATGTTCCTGCATGCCAGAACCAGTGGGAAAAGCCCTTGATTTTCAATCAAATTCAAGAAGAAGAAGAAAACTTTCTCTTTTCCTTGAAAATTCAAAAGTAATTTTTGGTAGAAAATGTATCCAACGTCTTCAGCGGGGTCTTCTATATATGTAGCTTCTAACTGGTGAAGAAAATCAATTATTCAGGCCCTAATTCTTATCAAAATTGTTTATATATGTGACGTAAGTAACACAGACGTCTTAGCCGTCTCACTGTGGAATTAGACGGTGTTCCTAGAATTGTCCCAAAACTCCAGAGTGACGCCTTCTTGAAGGGAGCAAGGCCTAATAAACACTCCACAGAGCATCTGAGAGGCGTGTTACTTCACGCAGATCTTAAGAGAAACTGCCGAGATCTGATTATAAACGTCTCACCAATGGCACCTGTGTAGCCAAACTTCAAGGGTGTTTTTCAACCCAGTTTGCCTCTCCTTTCTCCAACTGAAGGCCATAAGTATCCTACTTCCTCTGTCTTATCTACCCCTAGAGGAATAGGCACAGTGCCTACCCCTTATTTAACTATAATATTATAACACTGAATCACAGTTTACAATATCCTAATGTGGCTGGGCAGGTAGATGTGGCCAGGCTGGTACTGTAAGGATGGAAAAATACAGCCTAACTCTCCAATGACCCCAGGAAATGTAGAAGTCCAAAAAAGCCCTAAATATCTTAAATTCCAAACCCGGTCCCCCTGTCAGTAACTAGGCAAAAGGTTACATTCTTTGCTGTTTATGACAGGACTTGTGAGTACGTGAGCTCTGTCACCCCATCCAGGAGCCCACGCAAATGCAGACTTCCTGGGCTATAGAAAACTGGTTGGTCTATAAAGAGCAGGCTTGGATGAGGGCTCTGGATGCTATGAGATGGTTGGTTTAAGATGTGCAGGCTTTGTTGTAACCCTATAAAAACTGTCTCAATTCTGTACTCAGGGTCCTCTGTCCTCTACCCCTGCTTGGCTTATGACTGTGGACCCCAGTGCAATTGGAATATAAAAGACTTCATACTTTTACATCAAGACCGCTTCTCATAAGTGATTTGAGATGTCATTCCTGAGTGGGAGCGTGAAGATCCACGCTCCGCAGGTCTTTCAGTAGATGTAGTTCAGGAGTGTTAGAGAAATGTTCTCAGCTCTTATCCATGGGACATATCTGGAGATAAATGCTCAAAGATGGACATAATAACAACATGCTTGTAATTCCAGTTCTAAGGAAGCTGAGGCAGGAAGGAGGATTGCCATGGGCTAAAGAATGAAACCATGCCAAAGGAAGAGGAGGAGGGAACATGATGCTCAACGAGGAGGCAGGCATAGACCCCAATCCATTATGGAGAATGCTAAGACAAGGGTGTAGTGTGATGCAGAAAACATGACCCAATGCAGCTAGCTGTTCAGCCTGAGTTCTTTTGGAAGATGTCTACTATTGTTAAGTAGGGATTTTAACTTATGCCACAGAAAAGAATTTCATAATAAGACAGTATGAGAAAAAGTTGATGTTTATTAATTAAAAAAAAAATTGAGGGTGGGTAGATGCCTGTGTCTCAAGAAAAAGAGATGTGCTTGTGTCTTAACAGTAACTGTGTGGCTAGGCCTGGTGTGCAGACTGTAATTCCAGCTACTTGAGAGGCTAGAGAAAGAGGCCAAATTCAAAGCAAGAATGGACTGAAGAGTAAGTTCATAGTCGGTCTGGTCAACTTCATGAGATCCTATCTCAAAATAAAAACCATACTGAAAACAGTTGGGATGCAGCTCAGTAGTAAACCAAGCAGTAGATCCTAGGTTCAAAGACCAGCACTACAGGGAAGAGTTGTGTGTGTGTGTTGTGTGAGTGTGTATGTACATATTTGCATGTGTATTTTGAAGTTACATTGCTCAACCATGTTTAAAGTGTAATAAAGCAGTTTAAAAATTAAGTAAAATTTTATGAGGTAGTTACTTGTTTCTCTTCAAGAATTTCCTTTTGTGAATAAACACATAGGGTTGTTTATAAGATACACTGTTCAGGTTTAGGAATGAGAGGGGAACTCTGATAGCTGTGCTCTAAGGTCACATATGCATTGTCCTTAAGCAGTTTGTGAGCTGTTGTGTTCCTCTTGTTTGAGATGGTTGTATTGAAACTTGACTACCAAACTATGGAAAGCATAAACTAGACCTTGGAGATGAGGTTGAGGTAAGGTTCCTATAGTGGTTTGAAAGAAAGTGGCCTCCAAAAGGAATGTCACTATTAGGAGGTGTGGGTATTATTGGAGTGGGTGTGGTCTTATTGGAGGAAGTGTGCCACTGTGGAGATGGGCTTTGAGGTCTCATTCATGCTCAAGCCACACCCAGAATCTCAGACCACTTCCTGTTGCTTACAAGTCCATATGTAGGAATCTCAGCTTCTTCTCCAGCACCGTGTCTGCCTGAATGCCACCATATCACACCATGAACATAATAGACTAAACTTCTGAAATTCTAATCCCTCCAATTAAATGTTTTTCTTTATAAAAGTTACTATTCGTGGTGTCTCTTCATAGCAATAAAAACCTTAACTAAGTAGGTTCCCTACCCATGTCTCTTGAATTTTTTGTCTTTCTATCTTTTATCACCAAATCTCAGTATCTCAACACAAAGAAAATCCATTAGGGATATTTTGTGAAGGTCCCTAAATGCTTGTATCAAAATTGAGCTGATAGTTCTCTGGTCCATGAGCCATCAGAAGTTCATGGAAATTAATAATTATGTTATAGTAATATATATCTAAGCTTTATATATTTTGCATAAACAACACCATTGCTGAAAAGGGTTGAGTGTATAAGGTTGGGACTCTTTCAGGAACCTTAGAATTTAAAAGGCAGTGTGGGAAAAAGTCGGCATCTGAAATATTTCTGAAGAAAAAGTATAAGGACAAGGCATCAAATTTCTGATTGCAAGATGATAAAATCTTTCCCCCTTCCTCCCTCCCTTCTTCCCTCTCCCTCATTTCCTCTCTGTCTCTGTTTGTCTCTCTCTCTCTCATCTATCTCTCTCTCACACACACACACAAACACACACACACACACACACACACACATTTTAGAAAACAAGAGTATCTTAATAAAGTACCTAAATTCATACATTTGATTCTAGTGTGTTTAATTTGGGAAAATTAAAAAAAAAAAAAAAAAAAAGCTACCAGTTGAAAGTCACAAGACTGATTTCTACCTTGCCAGTGCAGTGTGATCTTCCACTGTGAAAATAAGTGTGTCCCTCTGGGCACCCTATGGATTTGATATCAGTTTGGTTTCTCTGACCCTTGATCACCAACAGACTTTCTCTGCCATTAACTGTCAGTGCCATACAGGCATCAGGTAGAACTTTACAGACTGGCAGAGCATATTGTTCTGTTGTTTTAAAAGTAACATGGCACTGGCAAATATAATGAATTTTTGGGTTCTATAATTGAAAATCCAGAAAAAGTACTTGGATTCGTATTTTGCCTCAGGCAGCTAAAAATGATCGCAGATACACACACCCATCCAGGGTTGTTTTTTGTTTCACAGTGCAGCACTACGTAGCCTAGGCTGCCCTTCTACTCCCAATCTTTTTGTTTTAGCCTCCCCTGTCAGTCATAGGGTTAGAGGTGATCACCACCATACCTGCCTAGCTTTTTCTCTTCTTTCTTTTTATTTTCAAACAATACTGCTGGGGACTGAGCACAGGGCCTTGCACATGTCAGGCATGCACACTAGCTACATCCTTAGCCTCAGTTGGTTGACTTAAGTTTTTCTTCTTAAGAATAAAAATGGGAGGATTTATAAATGATTTGCATGCTCTATATTCTACAAAAATAGGGTCTCAAAGTAACTAAAAAGACAAAAGTAGTTACATAGCTAGTAATTCATTCATAAAAAGTTATACCCCCATAAATCACAATTTCTAACCATACTTAGCTAATTAAAATTACATACTTGTGAAGCATTTTTGCTTTACATGACATTTTTATTAATGTACATCATATATTCACATGCAAAATTTTAAAAGGTTTCTTTTGCTAGTAATTTTGCTAAGAATATTTTAATTTTCTACTTTCTTATCACAAATTTCTACAGTGAACATTTTTTTTATAGAATTTTTAGCCAGATGCTTATTAGTTGTTCCTCAAGTTTTGGAAATAAAGCCACTAATCTCCACCCATTTCCATTGTCCCATTTGTCAAATGAAACAACTTCCAGCACTGAAGAGTGGTAGAAAAGTCGTCTGGTCTACTCCTCCTGTAAAGAGACAGAAAGAGAAAGGTTAACTCACTCTGGCTATTCTGCAGATGCCTGCTGCTCTACCTGAAGGAAAATGACAATGGGGATTAACATATATTGGTTTTTCTGAGAGACTGGTAGTGCTCTGAGAAGCCTATAAATACCATTCAGTGCATTTAGTCATCACAACCACAGTATGCCATAACTATAGCTGCTCTCCTCCTGATTAGAGAAGATGGAATTCAGCAACAGAGACACTGTTTTCCCCAGGTGCTGACAGATGCTGGGCCTCTGCAGTAAAGCTGCTCCTTGTACTACTTGAGCCTGGTTTCACTAAAGAACTAATGGAATTGTCCAGTTAGTGCTTGAGAGTTCTGTTTGATGGAAGCCTTGAAGGGTAGGAATGACTCAGGAGAAAAAAAAGAAAGTGAGGGTTGTTCCCTAAGGGAAGGGGTGGCACTGCCCAGGTATGGGGATAGTATAAAGTGAGAGCCTTGGCATGAACAGGAGCTGTGGAGCTGTCTGTGTGTGCAGGACTGCAAGGGTCCTTGCATGACAAAAGTGGGAAGAAGTAGTGTTTGTTATTCCCACCGTGAGGCAGGCACTGAGTTTCCAGAAAACTTCATTCTCTCAAATGCTCATCTCTTGAGGCAGCTGTGGGAGAGGTCACTTCTACCTTCCTTTACAATAAAGGAAACTATCTAATGGAAAAGTGCCCCCCAAATGTTAAACCCATTTGAGGGGTGTTATAAAATGTTATATTTTTTCTCTTCCTCTTGAAAGTAAACAAAGGTATATCTTAAGGTATGCTTTCATCATGTCCAAGTCCAGTGCAAGAAATGTATACAGGGTTCACACAGCAAAGAATTCTCTCTAATACCTGTGGGCTGGCCCTTCCCGGATAGTGAGATCAACAACTAACTTATCCATGGAGTCCTCACCTAATACCTGTTGGAAACAGAAGCAAACATCCATAACTAAACACTGAGTCGAACTAGAACCCAGATGCAGATGGAGAGGACAAGGCCAGGTTACAGAAACACATAGAGACAGCTGACCTGAACAAGGAGGAGCTAAAGGGCCCCCAGACTGATAGCTGGGAATCCAGCAAGGGACTGACCCAGGCCCCCCTGAATATGGGTCTCAGCCAGAAGGACTGAGCAGTCTAAGGGACCTCAGACAGTGGAACCAGGATGTATCCCTGGTGCACAAAAGGACCTTGCTAACACATTCCCCATGGAGAGATAACTGCCTTAACCTAGAGACAGGAGAGAAGCCCTAGTCCCTACTTCACATGACCTGTCAGATCTACATGACCCCAACTGGATGGCATTCCCCTACATATGATATTGTGGTGGGGGGATGGCAGGGGAGGGTGGTCAGGGTGCATGAGAGAGGTCAGAGAGGGTAAAAGGAAGGGAGGGAAGGAGAGAGGGAACTGGGATCGACATGTAAAATAATAAATTAAATAAAAAAATAAGGATTTGCAATAATAAGGATAAGAGTTTGGATCTCAGCATCTACACAGCAAGCTGGACATTTCCACAAATGCCTCTAACCCCAGCTCTACATAGAGGCAGGGACAGAGAGATGGGTAGGGCTTTCTGGCTTCTAGCCTGGCCAAGGAGTCCCAAGATACAGGCTCAGTGAAGAGAGACCCTGCTAGAAGAGGACACCCAAGCCTTTCTTCTCTTAGCTTGTATGCACAGGCACGCACATCTTTGCACACACATACACACACACACACACACACACACACACACACACACACACACGAATAAATATAAACTAAAGGACTGTGCTGCAAAGAACCACAGCTCGCCTTTCAAGTTCACATTCATCTTTATACCTACTTCTCATCACACCAACAATTAAGGCAGTACAAACAATAGCAGGGAAATAAAGACATACATTCAGAATAGTACAAAGATAGAATTAATCAGTCTGTACTTGTTTTCTTTACTGGTTTAATCCCTCAAGCATTCCTCCAGCTAACATTGTATTGTCTGAGGATTAATTGAGTAAAACTCTTAGAACAGTGCCTCCCACACACTATGCTACATTTAAGCTACATTTAACCACTAATTATAGCAAGCATTTGCATCAGTGTTCCTAGATTTTATATTTGTGGCCATGCATAATCCCCCTTTCTCTGCTCTATTCCTTCCTTTTCTCCAGAATTTAGGTCATTCTGACATTTGTACAACTAGAATTTGATTAACCATTGCTTGCACTTTGTCTTCCCAGCTGTGGTTGAAGTCCCATGAGGTTGAGCACTTAGTCCTTTGCCCTTGAGACAGTCTCTGGAGTTAGATGGCTCCTTAGCAGTGAACCCACAGGGTAAGAGAAGAAAAGGCTCCTTCCTTAAATCACTCTAGCACTGAGGCTTCACCTACGCCACAGCAGATGCTGTTAACTGTGAAGCCATTGTAGGGTCCTTTTTAATAAAGAACAGAAGGGTAAATGTAGGAAGCAAAGCTTAAAGAAGGCATTGTGGACTCAGACTTGTAAAACACTCAGACTTTATTTTCTTCAAATGAAGAAAATTGACTGATGCCTGGTCACTCGGAGGATGTTGTCTGATAACCTGGGGGTCTTTTTTGCTATTCTATGGAGCCAGCCTTCCTGAATCCTCTGATATTCTGAGCATTGTTTAGGCACCAATCCTGAGTTTTGTGTGTCAGTAAACAGAACCTATCGTTATGAAAGAAGTCCCCAGTAGTTTGCATCCTCCATCAAAAAATCTATCCTTATGCTTATTCTAAATCCTCTTTAGACCCTTGCCCTGAGCATTGTTCATCAGTAAGTAGAACCCATTTAGATTGCAAACGTCTCAGGTTTGTTGCTACTTTGCTAGAAGTCTCTATGTAACTATGCCTAAAGCTTTGCTGTGGTAGTTGTCATGCGGAAACCTTTTTTTCCCAAAGTTTTACTGTACTTAAGTGTGTCCTAGCACCTGCTAAGATGGTACTGACTCAAGTTGCATTCTTTGTCTCTCAAAGATTGTATTCCCTGAGGCCATGATGCTTGCAGGGTCACCAACAGGTAATGGTGGAAAGAAGAGGAAGACCAAGAACCAGACATGTCTTTGCTCTCCTTCCATGGAACCTTGTTGATTTCCCACATGGGTGGGTGACTAGTTTCCATTTCTTCGTTTCCCTGGTAGTAGCTGGAGCTAACTGAAGACCATTAAAGGTGGGTTGAACAACATGTATCACTCCTAGGTTTGGTTACAATATGTCTGCTAGCCTGTGACGTCTGAAACCCAAGGGCATCCAAGGCACAAAGTAGAATGTCTATGGCACAAACTCTATCTCTTCCTCATGATCACACTTCTTATATTGGAGTAATAAGCATCTGCTCTTTCCCACTAAGCTTCAAGAGCGTGTAAATATAGCAGCAAGTACTGTTTACCTCAATTTGGTCTGATATTTATCGACAGAAACAAATTCAACAATTTCATCCAAAGCAACACAGATTCCCATTATTCCTTCGTAGCTAGACCTTAATGCCTAGTTCTAGTCAGTGATTACAAATTCTGTCCCCCACCAAACTCAAGCACCTTCAAGTTCCTGCACCTTAGCTGGCTTCCCAAAGAGTCCTAGACAGCTGGACCTCATAGCCAGCATTCTTGCTGGCTTATCCATATGCTCCTCTGCCCACAAACCTCATTTCCCAGCCTGCCATTGTTTGCTTCTCCAGGATGCTCAGGGTCCCTCAGATTAGCTCTTTTTCATCCGTCTTATGTTCCCTGTCCCACTTTCTGTTTTTGTTCACTTACATCTGCACTCATGGAGAACAGTATTTGAAGAGTAGACGAATTTTTAAAATTTATTGGAAAACTGGATCAGTTTTCATGTGTGTATGCCTACTGGGAAGTAGGCTGAGCTATCCACCCTAGGAATGTTGTAACTAAACCAGAGGACAGAGTTTACTGAGGTTACAGACAAGTAATGACAAGTCTGAATTGTACAATGTTGTACAGAACCATTGGAAAGGGGCAGTTTGGTTTTGATGCCCCCTAGGGAGAAAGTAGCCACACAGATGCCTGCAGAGAAGACACTTGGAGGAAGATACCTGGAAGGTGGGTGCTATCACAATTATCCTCAAGGTACAGGTGAAGATCCTGAGGCACAGAAATAATGGGTGACTTGCTTAAAAGTCTCCCCCTAAGCATGTGATGAGCTGCCTGAGAATTAAGTTTCAACCCCAGAGGCCTCCCCTTTTTCAACATGGAACAGTGCTTTGCCACAGTTTTACTGGTATGGGGCAGTTCAGGATTCCTCATTTGTTGTTTCATTCAGTCCTCATCCCATCTTTCTGAGTGGATTATTATTTTACTGTGCAAGGTCAGTGCGGTGGCATTTGTCAATAGCTCAAGGACAGTCAGTTAATTATTAGCAGACATTTCTTTTTGTGTTGACTACAGGCACAAACCACCTCCCATACCCCCAGCAGATTTTATATTATATGAGTCCTGAAAATTGAACTTTGGTTTTCATATAATACAGCAAGCTCCTTATTGGTGGAATTATTTCCTCAGTCAATGCTCTCTTCAAAAATAATTTTTAAAGAATCAATTACAAGTAGATAGTTCCTGGAAACTGGAATACGATCAATTATTTTAGTATCCTAACCTTCTTTGCAAGAGGGAGGGTAATTGCTTGTTACCAAGAAATAGATGAGAAAACCCCCAAAATAAGTTTTGGGTCTAAAACTCATCCTGCCAAATTTATTATTGTGAACTTAAAACTTTATCGCTGTTTAATAAGGATCAGGATAAACAATTAGGCCAAACAGATGTTTATTCAGGGAGAAGTAACTCACAACATAGACAGATGAACACTAACAAGTTCCTGCTTCCAAGAATTCCTCCGGAAGTCCTCCTGTCCCCATGTAGCTTGCTTGCAAGAGAGCCCTCTCCTGTGCCTCCTCCAGTTCCTCAAGTCACTTCCGCCCCTGGCTCCACCCCCAATGGGTGTGGTCAGTGCCACAGAAGGAAACTAAGTGAATATCCCAATACAAAACTTGAATTTAAGAGTGGTAAATAACTTATCTTTACATTAAAATATGAGGATAAATCCCAGCTACATAAAAAGTAAACAGGGACAGACTCACTTTAGAGTCTTGTGTACTAAACTGAATTACTATATTACTTAAGACTACCTACCAACTTCCATAAAACAGAAAGTAGACATAATCGTTATCTTATATCCTTATTTGTTTTCCTCTATAGCTAGGGAACTTGGTAGAAATTAAAGACAGCCCTTAAACAAAGCAAACAATTATGTTTCCTTATATATACACAAACAAGCCCCATTCCCAAACCTGTCTGGACCTCTAGGGCTATGGTGTATCTCTACTACCTTTGAGTCCTACAAATTTAAAGTAGCAAAGGTTGGTGCCATCCTATATTGGAAGAATAGTGTTTTCTAATTTGTTATAACCTGTATTAACAATAGGAGAGTTGCACAGAACAAACTGCCGGATCAGAGGTGCTACAGTCAGCAATGGAGATCATGGAATACAGCCCAGAGGATTGCAAACCTACTCTGGGTGCATCCTGGAGAGGTAAAGCTTCCAGGAGCATTGTTTCCAGAATTCCCCTTGCTTCTGCTATGCTTCCTACTGTTTGGTGCTTTCCCAGTCCTACTGTATTTGGCATGGTGTGTTTACTATATGAAGGGATTCCACTGCATCTAATATAGTGCGATTGTTTCCTGGGGTAATCCCACTCCCCAATGGGCAATTTATTTGCAGATCATAACAAAGATGATTTTTATAAGAGTAATGATGGTTAGAGCTATGTCCTAATTGGACTTTCTGAGTTAGCCTAAAATATACAGGTGATTAAAACAGTACAGATCATTAAGGAAATTGTTTAGGTTATTCTGCCAATTGCTCCACTAAGAGATACCAAAAAGGACAAAAATAGGCTAGAAAACACCTTCCTCTTTGTTAGATATGAGATTTGCAGAAGACAGAAAATAAGAACAGGGAAGTTTCATACATTATAGATCCATATAGAATTCTGCCTGGGGAAAAACAGGCTGATGATTAAAGAAACAATTATGTCCCTATGCCCAAGGTTGGGCCTGAGTTCCTTGGTCATGTAACTTACTGAAGAAGATGTTTAGCTGACCACTCACATAAAGTTTCTCTATCATAGAAAATAGAAATCTGCTACAATAAAACCACAAATAGCTGCCTGCCATTACAAAAGGAACTGGCTGAAATATACTTAGTTTGTTTAAAACTTTGTTAATCAATAATAAGAGAATTATTGCTATGGGGTGAAGATTTTATAGTGGGGAAATTAATACAAAGAAAAATGTTTAACTACCTGTGAGCTTCTATGGGAAACATGTAACTTGTGATCTTAATATGATTTCTTATATAGATTTTAATTTTTTTTCAATATGTGACTTATAGTTATGAGGTAATCTTTTCTTCCATTAAAATCTTTGTCTTACGTGGTATAAAAGGGATAACAAGAAATAGGAGAAGGAAAGATATAGAAGGAAAAACATCAGGAAAGGAATAGAAGGGAACCATCAGGAAAGAAATAAAGGACAATATTAGGAAAGAGATAGAAGGAGAACAACTGGGAAGAAGAAGGGAAGCATCAGGGTAGGAAAACAAAACAGAGAAAGAATAGAAAAAGAACATCCAGCAGGGAGGAAAACAAAATGAAGAATTAAACTTTGGCCCTATGTGTCTGTGTGACTGTAGCTTGCCTTAGTCCACATCTCCTCTTGAGTTTCTGTGACCTAGATAAGAGCTTGCTGGGGGCTAGGCCCCTCTGCAGCAGCAAGCATTTCAATGTCTTGGATTCTGTAACTTCTAAGTTAAATATTATATAGTATCCAATGATGAAGTACTAATTTGATTTAATAGTCACCTAAATTCATTCTTAATGTAATTATTTCCTTGGAACTCAATTTTCAATCTGACATGTTGGATCCTTATCACTTATTATATAAACTTTTTTCTATTTAAAAATTTACTTTATGATTTCATTTAGTTCAATATAAGTTAAATTTTTTTATAATTAAAAGTAATTTTATTCAACTAAATAAGTCTAGTGGGAAAATTTGGTAAATTTAAGGTAGTCTTTTCTTTATAAAATAAGCCCTAGATTTCTGTAAACTAGATTATCATAACACTTTTACATTATGATAAAAGATCCATCTAAACACAATTAAGCCAAAATTCTAACTATGAAGTAAATTAAAAAAAAAAAGTGCAAATGCAATTATGTATGTGAAGTCACACCTTAATTTAAAGCCTAAGAATGGAATAATTTGCAATAATAAAGAGTTTTTAATTAAAGTTGATGTTTTAAAACTGTATATGAACCAATTAATATTTAAATTACATTGTAATCTACTCATTCCCTCCTGACATAGACAATGTGCTAAAAGTTACTTGCACTCCTAATAGGAAACATTCACAGCAGTTGTACAAGTTAGGAGTTAGGCAGAATAAAAGGGAGGACTGGTGGTTGGTTGGTGAAGGAAGATACAGGTATCTACTGAAGTATTCTGATTAAAGAAACAAAGGTATCTATTTTAAGTCAAAGATCCTGTGGGGAGCAGGAACAGGAGTATTTCAGGTTAGGAGTACTCTTTCAAATCTGGTCCTCTTTCAAATTTGGTAGAAATTCCACTGCTATGCCATATCCCTTATAATAAACTCACTAAGTAATACTGTTTTACATAGTAGAAGCAACCTTTGTGCCTAAGCTGGCATGTTTATGTTGTTTCTCACTCCCCTCTGAAGCCTTGCAATTAACCCCTTCTGCCAATAATACTGCCTGCATTTGACAAGCAGGCACAGAATTACCAAATCATAGATTTCAGAGATTCTAAGACAGCACACTGTTTCACTGATTTCTTCTTGTCAGGAACTGTCTCGTTTGGGTTTATACTCTATTAAAATTCAAATTATTACTGGAGGCAGCTACTTTATATTTATATTCTCTTTCACACAGGCATGCTATTTTTGAGCAAACCGGAAACCATCTGAACTCATACAAGCACTACACATCACAACACACACACACACACACACACACACACACACACACACACACACACACACAGTAGCACACAACGTTTTTAAGATTAAAAAAAAAAAAGTGACACAAAGAAACAAAATGAATCTCACCAAAGGAGAGATCCAAAATCACCAACTCCGAACTGTTGTCAAATGCAGAGTATCAAATCCCTCCAACCCCGGAAACCATTTATACCCTTTTGAGCCAGATTTGTGGTCCTTTGACACCAATTTATCCAAATGAGAACCAGAAAAGTCAGGAGAGTTGTGCAAGAACAAAGCTACAGCATGAAGGGGCATACAAAAGCTCCAGAAGGCTGAGGGGGTCCCCACACGACTGGCTTAAAATGTAGACATAAAGTATCTAGCACAGCTTCTAGAAATAAATGATGTGGGTGGGGGGGGGGGTGATTAGTATAGCTGACTTGTATCAGGGAAGAGGGCAAACTACACAACTGTTTTCTTTGAAACGGCACGACAGTTTATAAAAGAAATGGGTTTCGATCAAGGAAGCACAGTGCTTTTAATCACAGCCAATACTTACACGGCCAGAAATCTTCAGTGGGCGGTTAGGGTGTGGAATTGACATTAGTCCTTCATATGGACAAGCCGAGGAATTAAAAAAAAAAAAAAATCCTCTGAGGACTCTGAAGTATTATGGATTAAATCAGCTTTCACAGCCAAGGCTTTCATTTAGGCATTTCTTCCTCAAGTCTTAGGCTTCCTTCCACTTTACCCCGCCCCCCACTGGCCGTTTTGGTTCTTCCCCTCACTCCTTTATGCGTTCATGTCACTGTGAAAATGAATATAGCCTGGCCAAAGTGCTGTAATATGTGACAAATGTCTATATCTGCGTTTGAACAATTCAGTGTTCCATTTCTAACCACAACCTCAGGTCGGCGATTGTCCGTGTCGGAGAGATTGTTTGATGCCAGACCACATATTATACCCTATTAAGCTAAGATGCTGAGGGTCTTAGGTTAAGTAAAACTGTAATCTGATGTATGTTGTTAGATCTACAAATATGAAAACGCTGTCTTTTGAAACCGGCTCTTCCTGTTTAGAAGAGCCTATTTCAAAATGAAAGCAAACCTGAAGGCAGTTCTTCCCAAAACAAGCCATTCAGAACCAGTGTTTTTAAAGACATATTCCCCGCCCCAATGGTCAAAGGGCGGGGGATATGTCTATTTACTGTCTCCCTAATCGGTCACCCTTGTTCAAGAACTATGTTCCTTCTGGTGGACTGAAAACGGAAATGACGTTCACTACAAGGCTCTGAAAGTGAACCCCATACTAAACATTTCTCAAAATACAGCTAACAAAGCAACTGTAGCTAAGAAATAACAGAAATTAAAACTGGCGGATTAAATGAGAGATTCCATAACCTTAATAAATTGAACGCAGTGTTTGACCACAACTCTTTTTGAAAAGGTGGGTGGCTCTGAAAAGAGCCTTTGGAATTCATAATAGGCTTACTTGGGACGTTCATTTCACTTGGAGCTGGTGTACTTGGTGACAGCCTTGGTGCCCTCGGACACGGCGTGCTTGGCCAGCTCCCCGGGCAGCAGCAGGCGCACGGCCGTCTGGATCTCCCGGGACGTGATGGTCGAGCGCTTGTTGTAATGCGCCAGGCGGGAAGCCTCGCCGGCGATGCGCTCGAAGATGTCGTTGACGAACGAGTTCATGATGCCCATGGCCTTGGAGGAGATGCCCGTGTCCGGGTGCACCTGCTTCAGCACCTTGTACACATACACCGAGTAGCTCTCCTTGCGGCTGCGCTTGCGCTTCTTGCCGTCCTTCTTCTGCGCCTTGGTCACGGCCTTCTTGGAGCCCTTCTTCGGGGCAGGGGCGGACTTTGCGGGCTCAGGCATCTTAAATCTCTAAACACCGGAAACACAATGTGGGGTGGAATTGGACTTCTCCTACTTATAGGGCATTTATGCTAATGAGGGATTTCGAATGAATCTTAGCTAATTGGAAGAAGGAAAAACGGTGACTTCGTGGGTGGGAGTATGCAAATGAGGATGTGAAACCCAGCCTTTTTATTGGCTGTATCTCTGAGCCAATTGTATCCAATCAAGTAGTTGCTTTTACTATCCAGGAACCGACTATAAAAGGAGCCATATCTTAGGAGGCTTAGGACTTTAGTGCTTTTTTGCTTTACCTTGTATATCTTTACCATGTCTGGACGCGGTAAACAAGGCGGAAAGGCTCGCGCCAAGGCCAAGACCCGCTCCTCCCGGGCCGGCCTTCAGTTCCCCGTGGGCCGTGTGCACCGCCTCCTCCGCAAGGGCAACTACTCGGAGCGGGTGGGCGCCGGCGCCCCGGTGTATCTGGCAGCGGTGCTAGAGTACCTGACTGCCGAGATCCTGGAGCTGGCCGGCAACGCGGCCCGCGACAACAAGAAGACTCGCATCATCCCGCGCCACCTGCAGCTGGCCATCCGCAACGATGAGGAGCTCAACAAACTGCTGGGCCGTGTGACGATCGCGCAGGGCGGGGTCCTGCCCAACATTCAGGCGGTACTGCTGCCCAAGAAGACTGAGAGCCACCACAAGGCCAAGGGAAAGTAATTTGACGACCGAAACTTCCGAACCCAAAGGCTCTTTTCAGAGCCCCCACTGTTTCAGAGAAAGAGTTGAACCAAATAGAATAATGAAAGTCTTCCCTCAACTTAGTCTTCTTGCAGGCTTTAGCTAGGAAAAATCATTTGAGATTTAAGTTTATTGGCCACCTAGAACGTTACTGGACAAGTAAGGAAATGAGTTCTGGCCAGTATAAGCAGAATAACCTGTCAGTGTAAACTGTCAGAAGGTTGTTTTAAGTTGATACTATTGACCCAAGGCATCAAGAGATTGCAATGGATATTAAATAGATCCCTTAATTTGCAAATGAAAGTTGGGGCCCCTAGTTTCCCAAAATCAATGGAAATGGAGATTATGTGGAACCTAACCAACTCATCAACTTTTTCTTCAGGATAGCAAGACTTGGACATTGAATCAGAATTGAGGGTCAGTAAAACAGTGAACAAGGATGGTGTGTGCCTTCACTAGACAGACTGACCAAACTGAAGCATTGAGGTGAGACAATTAAGTTCCTACAATTCAAGTCCACATGTGAAGTAGAAGTGTTGTGGATTTGTTTTTGTTTTTTCTTTTTTCTTTTCTCCAGTCAGGGTTTCTCTGTGTAGTCCTGATTGGAACTCACTTTGTAGACCAGGCTGGCCTCAGAGGTCTGCCTGTCCCTACCTTCCCTCTACCTTCCAAGTGCTGGGATTAAAGGTGTGGGTGTCCTGCCCAAGTTTAGTCTTGTATTTCTTAATCCAAGCAGAAAATGGTCCTTGCAGTCTTGAGATACTGACTGATGTCTGAGGACACAGGCAGCCCCTGCTCGTTCCCCAGCAGGCAGAAAGAAAAATAATTGGGCACCCAGAAACTTGGAAGACAGGCAGGAGAAAAACCTTGACTTCGGTAAGAATTTTCTGTCTACAGCCATACTACCCTAAGTGCCCCTAATTTCAGAAGCTAAGCAGGGTGGTGTCTAGTTAGTACTTGGATGTGAGACCACGTGGAGTTACCTGTGCTCAAGGAAAAAAAAAAAAAAAAAAAACAAAAAACAAACAACAAAAAAAAATTGTTTGGCTTTGAGTGGAATAGCTCTCACGAAACCCAAGCTGAGTCCTTGCTACATAACCAAGGCTGGTTTGAAGTCCTGAGTTTACTGCCACCATTTCTCAAATGTTAGGAATGCATGTGTGTGTCAACATGTCATGCTGGGGATGAATAGCTTTGTTTATGCAGTCTCCTATGACCATGGCTGACCTCAAACTTGCTAGGTAGCTGAGAAACCTTGAATTTCTGGTCCCCTTAACTCAAGCTCCTTAGTGCTGGAACTACAACTGAGCATCACATGCCTGCTTCCAAGATGGTCAGAAAGTTCTCTCTCACAAGCAACTGGGCTTGGAAAGCCTGGCCTCACTGTGCATAGCATACTGTGAGGTGAGGCATGCAGCTCACTGTCCCTTCAGATTTGAGAACCTGGATCCATGGGTCCCACTTATTTCGTATAAACATTAGAATCATTTTTATTTCCTTGCCAAGTTCCCTTTGAACACAAATTCCCCAGGAGTGAAACCTTCAGGTTGTGCTTAAGTCCTCCCTGCCTCAATATTTCTGTATCTTTCTGTATCTTTGCTATGAAAAAATACAAGCTCTGAGGTGTGTGCCCTGAGATGAAAACAGCAGGGCTGGGTCAAAAATGGCTGAAACACCACATGCATTCCACCCATATTTATTCCTGTAAGCCAACAATCAAAAGCAAGCTTCATTGCAATTATGGTTGCTTTGATGAAGAACAGAGGGATCAAGTTGAAAGAAGTTAACTAAGTCTCCAGGCTTAGAAAGCTATCACTCCAAATGCTTATTCTATAACCATCCTTGTCTAAGAGATTATTATGAAAAAATTACATAGTACAAAATAATGGGTGAACTTTGCTATATAGAGGAGTATATAACAACAACAACAAAAGTTAGTGGCATCCTAAACTCTGTGAAGAACGTAAAGTTCCCCACAATCTGTATAAAGGGGCAGGGGCTAAAACTTGACATGTGTAGACATACTGAACCCTCAGTGGGGCCAGCATTGCTTTTACTCCGTGTAGAAAAAGCAAAACAAAGAGTTGACATTTTGGGAGGATGGTTTTCAGTAGCTATAGGACCTGTTTCCTTCCCTGTGATGAGTTAGGGAACAAGAGAGAGAAAGCTTAAGATTTGAATTCTTTGTTCCAAGTTCTCAAAACAATGCTTGTATCTGAACATTTGCTAGTGAATGGATACATCATAAACATTGTTAACATTTTTATTTTCATTTTCTGCAACACCATGAGGTCAAGTCCTCAACTTGTTAAATTGTAAATATTCAGCTTGAACATTACAAATAGTCACTTGATAAAAAGACACTGAGAAACAGTTGAATTGAAAGCATCAGAGACTGAGCAAGCCAGAAAGTATTCATTCTAGAGGGTCAGTTTACTACCAGAGAAGACAATAAAAACACACCAAACTAAGCACTATCAATAGATAGTGCTTTCCAATGATCTGGTTGTGCTGGGTGCTTGAGAAATATAAGAATGACAGTAGTACAGCTCTGACTGGGGAAGGGCAGCCAAGAACAGGCTACCAAGCACAGAGCATCCCATACAGCTCTGTCCCAGCTCATTGTGCTTTGACTTCTGTTTCTCATTGTCACTATTTATAACTCAGAATCCCGCTTGTTGCAGGACAGAATTCTCTAGAGCACTAAATACCTGGCAGCTTCAACTGGTTTTCCAGCCTTGAGAAGATCTTCACTAGTTTTGTCTGGGGAAGTCTCAATACTGGAGCACATTGATAAAAATTATCCCCGCTGGCTTCCTACTTGGGGAAGGTACTTGAACACCAGAGACATTTATCATAGGGCTTTACTGAGACATAAGACTGAGATGAGATGAAGTCATCATTTGAGTTTTGGGATATATATATATATATATATGTATATATATATATATATATATATATATCCAGAACAAAAGTAAAGCAAAAAGTATCAACAATTGCTCTATCCCTTTACATTTCCAAATAATCTGTGGACAGTAATATCTTTTCCGTTGCTGCTATTGCCACTAATTTTGTGAGGTTTTTTTTCCCCTTGTATTCATTTAAAGCACTGTAATTTACAATTATAAATATATCTGTATTTTAAATATACATAGGTGATTTTCTTAAAGTTTATCACCTGATGATCCTAAATTGTAGTTATTCACCTTTATATTCATTCCTTTTAAATATTAAGTATAACACAAATGTATGAAAAGGTTATCAGGAAGTTAACTGAATATTGTCCACTCACACTGGAACTAATGATGGTTCATAACTAGCAAAAGATTCTCTCCTTCATTTTTGTCCCTGCTTTGAACCAAAGCAAGAAAGATTAACATCGTGATGGTATCTACTAAAGACATTAATCACTTGTATTTACACTTAGGAACTATTAATAATAAATCAATCTCTGTTTTTAAATAGCAAGTACATAGAACTATTGTGCCATTCAGAGGAACTAGAACATGACATAAAGACTTAAAAATAAGCTGAGTTGTCAAACAGTAGCATATTTTCTTTGTTCCCTGTGACATGTGAGAACTTTAGTAGTAGTTTGACAATGATGAGGGAATCTATATTTTGTAGAATTTAGAACTTATTCACATTACTGATTGTTGAGGCTCTTTCTGCAAGAAACAAGAATACTCATTGTAGACTTACTATCAGGCTTGTCAAGGCTTAACCCTTTCCATACCGACCACTGTTCTTTCTTTTCTGACCACCTTAGAAACACTGATTGAATAGTTGTGTTATTGTTGTTGTTGTTGTTTTGTTTTACTTTTTGGTGGAGTGGGGTAGGGGTGATATGACACCCCTTACCTTAAATGAATTATGGGATAGTTTATTCTAGAGTCAAATTTGAGTGAGCATGGCCTAAGAACACAAATTGAGGTTGCCCCATATTTCACATTCACTTATAAGCATTTTCTTGATGTTTTATAGCTTTACAAAACAAAGAAAGACTTAATTCCTAGACTGATGGGGTAGTTACAAGATCAGGAGAGCTTTTCTGTAATTCAGATGTTATTTGATGACAGGCTTAGCATTTGGACAAATGAAAGTTAGTTGTCTACTAAGTTAATATATTTCAATTTTTTTATATACTAGTCACATGGTGCTAGTTCAGACACCAAAGTAGGCAAGGAGTAGCTACTCAGGAGGCCACGGTTAGCCCAAGATGAGAGATTGGCTAGAGTGAAAACATTCTGACTTCTCCCTATGACTTCAGTTCTAATTAGTCAACCAATCTT